AGTTCAAGGCTACCAAAGCCCCAGAGCACGCAGAGGCAGACCTCCCAGCGAACTGCCTACGGCAGGCTGCGAGAGGAGGGCAGGAGGAAGAGCCCGTACCATTGCGTGGCTAGTTTAGCAGAGAGCAAAACAAAACCAAAACAGACTTGCTCTAAGGTGAAAGCAACATAGTTCAGCAATCAGAACATCATATCAGATAAACTCTGAGGCTGGGACAAATCATGAAATAATCTAGTCTAACCTATGTAATATGCAGGCCATAAAATTTCATTCAGACCAGAGAACACCACTGTTACCAATTCTGGGCCTTATCATTTGATGGGATTGTAAACAATCTTCCCCAAACTAATTCCATATGAAGAACAGTCACCTCCAACAGCTCTAAACATCCTCTGATTTCATGTATACCATCTTACATCTACCTAATTCTGAGCAGCACTTCTGATATAAACAACCCCCCACATCAGTCACTGGCGACACCCACCAGCAGCAACCCAACAGATTCCCACGCGCACACATCATGAGGTCAGCCGAAGTCTGAGGCAGTGTGACATTGGCACAAACGCACAGGGAGGATTGCCGTGGTTATTCTAAAGATATTAGGCCAGAAATAAATGCAATAACCTCCCAAAGCGGATGGCGGAATTCCTTCTGGAATTTCCTAACTGGCAAAACATATAGGAGTAGGTGTATCAGTGCATGGAGCGGGTTAGCAGTTCAACTTAGAGGCAAAAGAAGTCTCAAAGTGACCTGTGAATACACCACCTTCCCTTCATCTTTTTCCCACCCTATAAATAAACCCTTCCTACACACAACGGAGACAAACCTCCACTGCAGCATGTCCAGCAACAGCCGGGGCGCTCATGAGCTCACGGACAAGTGCTCTGCTGGAGGCTCCTGCTCTGAATCGGGCAGAACAGAAACTTGGATCCGAGTCTCCCTTCTTTTAGAAGATGCTCCAGCCATTATTTGCCTATTCCTGGGAGGTGCTTTGGGCACATTTTGATGAGAAATTCTGTCCAAGACCCTCAGACATCTTTTTCTAACCAGAAATTGTTTTCCTTTCCAAGCAGTTTTTCCCCAGCGCATCTGTTGTTTGGACATTGTATCTCTGGTAGAGGCACACAAACCCCATCAAACATCATAACAGAATCAAGACAATAAATGTTGAAGATGATTACAGCTAGAGAGAAAAGATGAAGCTTTTCAATTTCAGTTCCATATAAACTGAAGAGCAAGCAAAGCAGACAACAAAAAAAGTCGCCTTAAAACTGTGCTGTAGGAGCTGGACTCAGTCCCTGACTTGAGTGAGTGTCCTCCTTCCCTACTAGACCAAAATAAGTAGGCAGAATATACCCATCTGATGCAGCTGATTGGAAATATTGATGTTGTACAACCTGCAATCCCATGAAATGAAAATAATTACAAGTTGAGAAGGGCACTGTTTTCAGAACAAAAGGTTCTAATTTGTTCTCCTAATGAACCTCACAAGAGACAGGAGTGCTGTCCCAGCAGGGATGTCTATCCTTCCAACCAATAAATGGAGCATTTCTTCAAGGAGATATAAAAGATGAAGTAACCAACAGTTCTTATTTTAAAGCAGAATCTATTTTTATTCAACACAGGATGGTAAATGGATAATATTCACAATAACCAGCATTAAAAAACAACAAACCAACCCTGCAGTCATATTTAAATTTGGCCCTACCTACTGGTCACTCACATTTCTACATACAAAATTTTGTCAGTCTTGCTCATTTCCAGATGAATGGATATTGACACCCAATACTAACAAAGCACAGTTTATTTACAACTTGTGGACCTTTACGGTTGTTAAGAAAGAAAAGCAAATCTTTGTCTTTTTGTCCCACAAATTCGTAGCTGGGAGGAACTGAAATGCTGCACTTTAGCAAGGAAGGAGACATCGGCACGCTGAAGAGTCTTACCTCCCTCCTACAGTCGATGGAAGGAAGGACTCAGCCCGGCGTCTCTGACGTTGTCATCATCCCATACCCGAGTCACTGCAGTGCAAAAGCTATTCCAATAAATAAATAAATAACAGCAGCAGCCCCAACAAGTATAACATGTAAAATCCAAACCACAGTTAAATATCTCTACAACCTGTAACTGTTAAATACAACTGACAGCATTTTAACCTAAGAGTTCAGCCCATAGGCAACAGCCTCTCAAAATCTGAGCACAGCAGAGTTTGAGAGTTTAAATTGTTTCGATAAACTAGTACGTAGCTCTACACACCTTTCCGTGGGGAAGGGAATGACATGTTCAGCTAAAGAAGTCCTCCACCTCTCCCTCCTCACACAGCCATTGAAGCTGTGCCAGTACAGCGGTTTTGGGGTTGCAATGTTATTTTTCCCCCCATCAGAGGGTAGGTCAGTCCCCTGGCCTGGCTAGCAGTCCCCCAGAGCCAGCCCGGCTGAGCGAGGGGCAGCGTGCCACCCCACCGGGATGGAAGTCCTTTCAAGTAACGTCGCTGCAGAATTCTGTCGCATTTAACTGCAGCCTAAAGCCCAAACGCAGCGCAGATTTACGAATGCGCATGTTGAGTATCCCCACCGGTCTCAACAGGTTTACTCAAAATGTGTGAAGTTAACCATTCATCTAGGTAACTGCAGGTCCAGGACCTACGTAGAGCATTCACTTGCAAGGACTTTGGTACCCTCCTTACGTCTTTGTGGGACTGAGGTCTTCCCTGTATCTCTGTTCAGCAAAACAGTTAAAAATGAACACATTCTTATACTGTTCAAGTCAGGCATAAAGCACATGCTCAATCAAGCCAGTGAAATAACTCATCGAAGACTGAACAATTACAAAACAGCCCTGGAAATTAAGTGTTGTGCCAGCACAGGGAACAACACCAGCAGCTGATGAGACATTTCTCCATGTTTTGCAGGACTATTTTAGAGTGTGCTGTTTTGTTAATCAAGTGTAAAGACTACTGCATTGTTTCACAAAACTTAGAGCATAGCTCAGAACAAGACATATGCCTAGAACTTTAATAAATACAGTTAATAATACACAGTTTAAATTATCTAGCCTTCATGATCTAAGTATAAACACCTCATACAAAAAAACCTCCTTTTTACTTTGTACATCTTTAAAAAAAAATTGCAGAAACATCTGTTTTGCAAAGGAGATAGCTGTACAAATAAATGATATGTTTTGAAGACATTAAACCGTCCATTTGCTGGATAACACTAGTTACTGAAATGTCCTCTTACAACCTACCACCCAGGTCATTTTTCTTTTCTGATATTTTGGCTCCAAATCTAAAATTCAGAGCCACTTGAAATCAGCCACTTCAAAGAGATTTCTGGTTATTAAGGCCCTGATCTGACAATGACTTCCACGTGCACACACCAGCACTGAAATCAGGGAGTAACCCACAGAGATCACTGTGGCAGCAGGCACAAAAGCAGCAAATCTGTTGAATCCTGTAGTGCTAGAGTATGACAGCTCACAGTTCTCTGCCACCCCAAAGGGACCTCCTCTCATTTCAACCCAGCCTAGAGGAGCAGCACAATAATTATGTGACGTTTGCACAACCAGTTTATAATGCCCTGAATATCATTAGAGCCCCCCACTGGCAATTCTGACTCATAATCTGCTGTTTGTTGCTTAGGGCTCCTTTTTGCACAATCCTAATTGAGGACTAACATCCATCCAAAGAGTCTGTGAAAACTGCTAACTGCGGTACACCACAACAGTAAATTCCATTTCATTACCTACCAAAAGGCTGGATGTTGTCCTTGGGATTAGAAGTAGTACTGTAGTTAAAAACTAATAATATGGTGAGGTTATTATTGTCGGAGCAGCTTCAAAATACTAGTAGCAGTGCATCTTAATAATCAGCTGGTATTATCCTCTATAAAGTGATGCCCTTGACGTGCACTAGATGACATAAGGGATACATACTTGGGTCACTGACACTGGAACATTTCACTGCTTAGACTATTATGATTTCAACTTCCTTCTGCTCTAGTATTGACTTGGTTTTGGAAAATACACAGTTCGGCATTTTAATTAAAAACATCCTATCAAAAGAAATAAAAAGGCACTTGGTATTTCTCTTTGGCTCAGTTGAGGCGCGCTGCTAAAACCTTCCCAAAGTTTCTGTCTCTTCATCTGATGAATAGTTGCCATCTGGAGGTACTTATTCTTGTGCAAAAATAAGAGCTTCAGGGATTTACCAGTTGCGTTTCTCACATTGCTTCCAGTAAACGTGCAAAGTTCTTCACCAAACAGAATCCCTTAAATGTAGAATAACGCGTTCCGTGAAGTTTGTTTTTCAGGGCAGAACTCTGATCACTGACACGGTCTCATTCCAAATCTGGTCTCGTAGCTCAGTGTTCTTTAAACCTGGGAAAGAACAGCAACCAGGCAGGAAAAGTTGAGGTATGAGCCATAACAGCCACTAACTTCAAAATGCAGGTTCCATCCCTTGCCATGCATTTTTCTATTCTCTGTCCATTTTACTTCTCCAAAACTACAACCAAAGGGGCTCGATTTAGATTTTGTGTACGCAAGTGTAACCCCATTGATTTGGTGGATTTTTTTTTCCTCTCTATTCAAAACACCGTAAAATTCAGTCACCCTTTCCTTTAAGGAGACCTTTTGGAAAAAGTTACATTTGAAACTATTAACAAACACAGAGCAAGCAATTGAGTAGCTTCTCATTCCCCACGTGCATGCTCCATGATGAAGCCCAGAAAGATTACATATTTGGGAAAAAACAAACCATAACCAAGAGACCGTGACAGAGATGGGTTTTCAGATACTCCTCAAAATAAGATGTTCTAAAGAAAAACGTTCATGATTTGAAAACATCAAACTGAGATTACTCTTTTGAAGCAAAACTAAAACAGACAGAAATGGACATACAGAAACCTTAACATGTTCAGTCTACATCTAGGTATTATGGAGCAAAGGCTTAGTAACATCTTTTTAAACTGTTATTAAGGAGCAACAGCCATGCATAACACTTACAGGGTCTGATCTGCATTACACCGAAGTTCCTTCTGAATAAGACGGAGTAAGAACTGGAAAAACAGTCACAATAACTGTGTTAATAGCTATACAGACATACAAATAAGCTAAGGTTCAGGATAAGATGCTCACTGTTATTTGAAGAGTTCCTCATTACCCTGTAATGCTGAAATCAGTTTTAAAAAAAATATTTAGGGATGCTCAGTCAATGTTTGGAAGAGGAGTTTTCATAATGAATAGGCAAGAGGAAAATAATGTCCTTTTTGCAACTGAGAGATCAATTTCTTTGTAAAAACCAGAAGGGCTTTCCAAAGTTACTTTACCAGCAGATGCGTAAAGAAACCAGCAGAGGGAACCCAAGACTTCAAGAAAACATGGCAGATGGAAATTTTGGAGCCTAAAAGTATTTTAGCTGCTATTCTGAAAAACAACTGTGTGTGAAAAGCTTTAACCACACAATTAGTCAAGATGACTAAAGTCAGTCATGTTTACTTGCAAGTGCAGGATCAGGACTTTGAAGTGCACTTTAAAAGGTGTACTATGATAGTACCCAGGAAAGTGATTTTATGAATAAAATTTGATGCTTCCCACGTACATTAAAGACAGAATTAGAACTTCCAGGGCTCCTCACTGTTACAGGTTTCCTTATCCTCAGAGTCTCACTGTTATAAATGGAAGTTTCTTCACTATTATAAGTACTGGTGTTCTAGGAAGTTAAACCTAAGGTTTCAGAAGTATGGGAGTGGCCAAGAATGACAGAACTGAATACCACATAAAAGGCTAAAGCCCCTCCCAATATCCTTGAAGAAATAACATTTGAAAACAGGCATCTATATGCTGTACTGCAAAGAACAGGAAAGGCAGAACAAGAGTAACAAAACCCAGGATTTATTACAACAGCACAGAGTCACCCTTCTCAAAAACAGACCTTTATAAAGGCATTTTAACTGATGCTGCAAAGAAACATGGGATTTTTTCATTTGGTTTGAATAAATAACTATAAAAAAAAAAGCAGAGCTTTAAGTCTACTTAGGAAAACTACAACAATCTCCCAAACCTCACTCTGCAGCATGGAATACCTAATACTGAAAACAGCACAGATCAGGATTTACAGAGCTGCTGACTACCAGTGGCAACATACTTCAACTATTAACTTACCTAATTTATTTACTTAATTTCCAGAGATTTCATATCTTAAATGTGGAAAAAACTACTTTAAAATTTTGGGTTTAACTTGAATTTAGGAAAAAAACCTCAGTTGTAACTCGAAGCAAGACTTTCTGCTTTTCTTGTGTCAGGGAAGAGTGGTCTGACACATTCAGCATTAGCTCCTCTGCCGGAGGACAGAGCTCAGTGCAATACCGTGCAGGCACAGGGCTTTGTCTGGGCACAGCCAGTACAGAGGAAGGAGTATTTCTGAAGTGTTTCACAGTCACCCTGCCCTTTTGTGACTACTTCCACCCAGGACTTCAGAAGGAGAGGATAAGCAGGTGACACTTCAAGACATCTCCGAGGTAGTCATAGCAGCATTCTGCTCTGCCGGAGAACAAAGCTGGTACAGACACCTGCCAGGGAAATCCGTGGCAAACGCAAAAATGTAACCTACAGGCTAACCTACAGCTGGGTGCAGCAAGACTGACTTCAAAGGTACAGCAAGACGTGCCTTGCCTCATCTCATGTCAACTTTGGTCTTTAAAAGCAAAGCAGGGCAAGTCGGAAGTGGGAGGGGGGAATAAAACCAACCAAAACTACCTTTTCAGATCTTCCTATCAATCATACAGGATCTCAGACAGGAAAAAAAGGAAAATGGATGTGCTTTGTACCAAGCCACCACGTGTGTGTTGCACTCATTTTCCCTAAACATCTGCTCCTGGTTACTGTCAAAAGTTAGGATGCCAGTTTTTCGTCTAACCTAGTACAGCAGTTTTAGGGCCCATCTGGAGAATGTGATGTATTAACTTTCAACAGCTTCATTACCGCGGTGCTTTTCATGATATAGCAATGTAGCAAAACATTTGTTACTGCTTTGCTAAACTGGCTTTAAAGAAAACAGAAGTAATTCTTCCGTGAGTGGAATCTGAGGCATCTTCTAGGTCTATATATGAAGGTTTACTTACAATTATGGCTGCTATAATCTGCTCAGCCAGCAATTAACAGATGTGTATTTGCTCAGGAATTGAAGTGCATCAGAACTAATCTGCACTTTTGATTAAAATTAGATGAGAATTTCAAAATGAGCAAATTTGCTCTTTAATTGAAAATTTCCTACACAATTGCAAGTTTCTTACAGAGTATTGAAATTGCAAAAGGAAAATTTGCATTTTAAGATAGTTTAGCATAAAGGAAATACATGGCAACTAAATAGTATTTTTAGACTTACTAGCAAGGCACATGCATCTGCCACCATGAGCATGTAAAACACGTTGTTCCAACCAGATGGGGAAATAAGACCAGCTAAGAGAGGCCCCAAAGCTGCACCTAAAATATAATATTGATAGTCAGAATGATGCAACGTAAGATTCACTATGCTGAAAGACAGTTATTCTGAGTTACAATATCAATTTCTCCACCTAGTTAACTCAGTATTACCTTATGTATTAAAAGGTCCCAGAAAGTGCAAAACATTACTGGTACAGCTGCAAGCCAATGGGAAACCTAACACAGGGGAAGCTGGAAGACTAGAAGTTTGAGAAATGCCTGCCTTTGGCTCAACAAAATGCCCATCCAGTATTAAGCTGAATCCTACTCAATTCTCCCTTCCACATACCAGTGCAGAGAGCATAAATAAAATAGCCCTGATCTCAGAAACAGCCCAATGGCATCTACTTTTGCTGTCTGTGCCCAGTATCAGTCTACCACCCTCTTCCTTCCTCCCTCCCTCAGGTGTGGGACCACTAGAGAGGTTTAAGGCTAAGTTTGCTCTACTCCCCATTTCCAAAGCTGTACTGAATCCTGGCAAAATGTGAACTGGAGAGAGCCTAGTTTCTCAAAGATCCTTTGTTTTAACCTACCACAGCTAAGGCAGGCTACCTTGCAGCTCTGGCTTACCTACAGATCCTGTTCCGTCGATGATCGCTGTCACTGTGGACAAGGCTCTTGCATTCCCTTTCAGGCTTTTATGGGTACCCTAAAGTGACAAAGAGGGCTTAGATCCATCCTGAGCTGAACTCCGAAGAAGTCTTTACAACATCATCTAGCTCACACCCCTCCACATTAGATGTGCATTGTGAAGATGCCTTAAAAGCCTAGCTCAGACTCTTTTATCATTACTTAGAGAAGCCTTCTGTCCCATCAATCTGTTGCCTACAGCATTCTCCTTTATTACATCATGTTATTCAAACCACAAGAGCCAAGAAGCTTTCTGTTCTGCACACTGTGGATTCAAGCAACAAGGACGGCACTTCAGCTTTGCATTATGCTGCAAGGCTGTTTCCATGGCCCTCTTTTCCCCTGCTAATACAGCAAAGCTCTGCAGAACAAAAGAAACCTCCCCCTCTCCCCCCCCGCCAAAAAAAAAATCACTTCTATAACAGGAATATTAGAGTACCAGAAGTATGTATATATACTGAAATGCTAATTCAGAGAATTCTTGAGCCAAAAGAAGCTGTTCAGTCCCAATTTTAGAAGCCAGGTCTTCAGAATAAAACAACTGATGAAGGGAATGACTTAGTAAAAAGACAGAAAAAACTGAATAGTTCAGAGAACTGCTAAGACTGTCCTTTATCTCCAGTACACTGAGGAGAACAGAGTCAGATAATCAGCAGTTTACATTTGCTTGTGTCAGATGTTTGATTGCTGACATCCTAGGAACTGGTTGGCAGTTTCAACCCTCTTCCCAAGGGCCAAGTAGGGATCTTGCAATGCCAGGCCCCACCTTCTAGCTAGCAGCCCCTTCAACAAGGCTAAGGATAAAATGGGCAATGCATGGTGGCTGGCCTTCTTTGTCTTGCCAAGACCTCCAGACCAAGGATAGGACTCCAGAGGATGTTTGGAGATTTCTGTCCTGCTCCTTTTCCTATATTTAGAGCATTTGTTGTTAGAGGAGTTTTGCCTCCTGCTTGGTGCCTTAAGGAATGAGGACCTTTGAAAGCAACCTTCCGAAGCTTACCTAATGATAGGTACTAGGGTCAATGTTTTCACATGGCACTTGTGACTGACTGACCTGATCCAGCTGCAAGTGCCAGCAACCAGTACAAGAAATGGCAGAGGGTAGCATGGACAAAAGTAAGGGTATGTGCCATGTATAGCTTTCCACACTGATGGGAATTAGGTCTCCAGCTCATCTCTCACACAGACACAGCCTCTCCCCTCATTTAAAGATGCAAAGTATAAAAGAGGAGGAGGCACCTGTACAGAGACTTGACCTTACACGAAACCTTCATATTCACTTTGGGCTGTCACCTACAAGATTGGGGCTGTCTTGTTAGTGGGCAAGAATAATTTAGAAGTCTCTCACAAGCATGACACTCATTCATACTAATACACGAACTCTAAAACAATCTCAATGCCTGAGTTCAGTACTGCCTATCCAGCTCCTTATCCCTTTACTTAGGGACAATGCAGCCCCTTCACTGACGACCCTGCAAAAGTCAAAGGGCTCTCTCTGGAAGCCAAAGCTGCTACACTGCAAGCAGAGGGGAAGCCAAACTCACCAAGTCGGCAGAGACAGCAGTGGTGATCAGCGCATAAGGACCATTCACCAGGGCACCACTGATAAGCAGCATCACTGTTGCAAGTGGAACAAAACCAGAAAATGTGAGTTGATGAATGACTCTTAATCATAGCAACAGCAAACATCACAGCCTGTGGTTCTCAAATGGTTTAATCCTTCCTTGGTTTCCCTGGCCCCATTACAGAATTGGGACAGGAGGAAAAGCAACATGTATTTGTATCTCCCTGCAACACTTACTCCATGACGTGAATTCTCAAATGTATGAGTAGACAGGGCTGAGTTAAAAGGCACTTCCTGGGCCTTTACTGATCCTAGTAGGTCAGAGAAAGGGAAAAGCCTGACCAAACTGACCCTAAGAGCAGGGGATGCTCACAGGGACCCACCCATAAGCCCCTTCTCTGGTTGTACAGCACCCAGTACCAGAGGGCTCTAAAACTTAACAAAGCCTTTAGGTAGAGGAGACACTACTGTCAGAACTTGTGTTTCAACTTCTGTTTTGAGGTAACAGATAGAAAGGCACAAGTTAATTCAGATTAAACAAGTAAAGTTAACATTGCTGTCAAAAGTACTACAAGTAGTCTTTAAACACTTCTGACATTGGGCATAGAGAATACAATAAAACGTGTGCTGAGCAACAAGCTCCAGAAAGAAGACTAATGATATTAACTAAATCACTGTTCTCATGCCACACCTTACTTATTTCCTAGCCCCCTTCCTTACCCCATAAAAAGCCTGCAAGACAAAGTCTAGGAAATTTGATTCCATACTTCCTCCTCTCAGGGAAAAAATAAAATAAAAAGAAAAAAAGAGGAAAGAGCATCAAAGGATCATAAATGAAAAGTTCACATAAAGCCAGGCAGAAAACAACTTAAAAATACTCACCTACAGTAGCCTCAAGGCCCATTTTACTGACTGCAGAGAACATGTACAACTGTAAAGATGGAAAAAAAACATGTTGAATACCAACGTATGTACTAATCTTAGGTTACCCATTTTCCCCATGCTAACTAAAAAATATCTTAGTTGGGATTATGTGAAAGCTAGTTCTAGCATCCTAGGTTTTACTAAACCCTTTTAGACCACAGCCGGATGGTTGGTTGATTGGACAGAGGAGGGAGATAAGGGATGCGCTCCTATTCCTCAGTATGTCCTTTCAGAAAAAAGGGCTATATTATGAGACTAGTCAACTTTAAACTCTCAAATTGCCAGCTTCAACACAGCACAGAATACTGTTCACAAAAGAATCAAAACTTAAAGAAAAAACGCACCTCATATGCCCAACTGCCAGTTTACCAATAGTTACAGCACAGAAATTTTAGCCTTTGAGCAGCTAAAGAACTGGCCAGAACACACACCAAACAGTGATAAAATTTCCATGTAGTCCTGTAACAAGCAATGCACTAGACCTGTTTGCTTCTTTAGTAAAGGCAGCCCCAATGCCTATACTTGCTCACGTGCTCAACTTTTCATGACAGCTTTTAACCTGGCCTGAACTCTTTATATCCAAGTTAGAAGATGCTGTTTGCAGAACTTCCCAAGGGATGCTGTGTAAGTCTCAGCTGCAGCTGTAAGAGAGGGGCAAACTCTTACTGTGGGTGCTGCAAGCAATAACATCATTCCACAGGTTGATGCCCTCTTCTCCAGCCTGTCTGAAATAAGGCCTGCCAAAATTCCACCTGAAAGAAGAGATAGGTCTGTGAGGAAAACATTCTGCGCATGTTTTACACAAAAGACATCAGTTATACTTAATGAAACCCAACCCAGATTAAAATGATAGGATATGACTTTTAATGTACAGTTATACACAGCAGCACAGAGCATGAGACTGACAATATAATTTGCACTTAGCAATATCCTTATTAACCCAACCCGTTTTGACTTGGAAGATAACAGAAGCAGACAGTTGTTCTTCCTCATTGTTTATGCCAACCAAATATCCAAGATGACAGGGCGGGGGCAGAACAGAAATGGAAGAAATATTTAGAAATCATTGTTCTGCTGCTTTTGAATGTAAAAAGCCTTTTCACCAGGTGCCACGTGGCCCCACTGCTGGCACTCTGGAATCCAGCTGTGCCCAGCTACTCACTTGTCTGAACTCCTCACATTCAACAATAAACTTGGCTCTCAAGTGCTCTGTCCATGTTGCACTGCAACTAGGGGAAATGAGCTATTCTAGATCTTGGGGCAAATGAAAAATTTTTTTTCTCTTCAGGCAGTAACTCCAGGCTCTTTACTGTTCCCTACTTCTTGTGTTTGCCAACAACTGTACACAGAACTACTAATCGGAGCATGTGGCAGGAGGGGACTGGAAGGCCTGAGGGGAAGAGCTGCCAAAATGATTAAAAGGGAACTTGGTATGGGGAAAAGGAAAGGAGGTTCTCTGGATTCTCCAGATTCCTAAATATCACTGGGCCTGCCTCTCCCTTCCCAGCTGCCCATCTCTAAAGTGCTCACATCCCACTTGAATTTAAATGTAAATGCCAAAGGTCTAAGCAGCACACAGCACCTTGTTAAGATTGTATTCACAGCGGAATAAGATGCTGCTGAAAGAAGTCACCCACATCTCTAAGGTACTGCTAACTCTGGCTTCTAGCTATCTGGGATGAAATGAGCCATAAGAAATGGCAAAGGTCACAGCCAGCATGAGACTGGAACAGTAACTGCAACACACCTTGACACTGGCATCTTGAACTACCAGAGTCTACATAGCTCTAGATCCAGTGAAACTTCTCTAGCATAAGCATCATTTTCCAATAGACTGATACAGGGTTTATTTCCATAAGGGAACTGGGGGAAGTGGAGGGGGATGGCGGGTCACACAAATCAGCTGGGCATCAAGATGATGATGCTTGTTTTACTGTAAGCCATACTGTCTGCACTGGCATAAAAATTTAATTATTCAGCGGTCACCTCACAAATTACAAAGGAATAGTCTCATTATTATTACAATCTCCCAATTTTATCACATACAGTTATATGAGGCATCAAGAAAAAAAAAAAAAACAAAAACGAAACACCTCTGGCCATTTGCCTCTGTGCCCACAAAAAATACACAACTGTACAAGCTGTGATAGTTCTGTTACGTTAGAGCAACAAAAGGAAGATATTTTGACAGGTGGTGTGACCAGAGCTCACGGGCCACAGCTGACGGAGCAAAAAGATTCTATAATATTTGGCTCTTACAATCTGTACTGGACAATATCATTGGCTCCGTGAGTTGTTCAATTTAAAGATATTTTGCTAGGTTTTCAACAACTAATCCAGCTCTCAACTTAGTACCTTTACTGCCACTCTTTTTCAGCAGACATAAGGCATAAGGGGTAATAATATATGTAAGCTGTAAGTACCACAGCTTTTCCTAAACTGGTCTGATGAAGGACGAAATATTTATATATAAAACTTACCGAAGATTCCACCCACATCAAACAGTGTAGAAAGGTCCCCAGCTCTTTTGGCATCAAGATGTTCTAGTGACAGAAGGAAAACATTTGTCTCATTTCCAGACTACAAAACATAGTAATCTCAACACAGTCTTGTCATGCTAGGATAAAGGCATCTTATGGCAGTATTGTTTGTTCACAGGAATAAGCTACCATACGCTGTCATTGTATATGACAAATAAGAATGTATCATAAATGGGTATTCAGGGATACAGTCTTTTGAATGCAATCACACTCACGGCAGGACATTTTACCACTTTAACTATAGATGCAGGCCAAGCAATAGAGCTGTCGATTGTTAAAGTCTGGACTAACAATATCCCCATTTGTGAATAGCCACAGATTCATAAACAGTTAACAAATGCTCGTGAGGCTCTTTGCTCTAAAATCATGATTAGCGTACATTCCTATCACTTATAGAGCCTCATCATGGAGGTCTCCATCACGTGACCGGCAATATTCATCATTAAATTATATCTGGCAACCCTGCTTGGCACAACATGCACTGTGCAGTTTATGGGGGCTATGAAGAGACAACGATTTCCTTAACTCCACTGTTTGCCACAGGCAGTGAAGACCACTGTTTGCACATACTTACGTTTAGTCTAATGTAGTTACTGATACGCTACGGGGTCAGATTTCCAAAAGTACACCAGGAAGTTGGGAAAGCCCATCCTATTGTCTTAAGTGTCAAGTTTCAAAAGGAGTTGAATTTCTAAACCCCTTTGGTATTTTTTTTTTAAAGTCTCTGAAATACAACTGAAAGAGCAGTATGTGCTAAAACAGTGGTGTCAATGGCACTACCATAACCTCACCAATATCTGCCACAGCACAGATGGCAGTACTGTGGTAAATATCATTAACCTTGCTATTACAAGCCCGCTGCTTTCAAGGTACCCAGTCCTGCAGGAGCACTGGTTATTTGGAGTCCACACACAACAGCCTTTAGCTATAGGATTTGCAGCTCTGTGTTTTCATAGGGTGTTCAACTTGTCTCTCTCTGCTGGTTGTTACTGCCACACTTGTCCAGTACAGCTTTTTTGTTAGCTGGGGGTTTAAAGGTCACATCACGACTCATAAGAACACGAATTTCTCTGGCTAGGGAGAACGCCTTTCTCTGTACTCTACAGCACAAACAAAAAAGCAGTACTGAACAGATAAAGAAGCTCATTTAGATTTTTTTTGTATATGTTTTAATAAGGCACTTCAATCATGTAAAAATAGAAAAAAAAAGTAAACCTTTTTGATTGGTTTGCAAGAGCCAAAGCCGCAGCATTTATGTGCAGAATTGCTGAAAATAAGCCAGATTCTTTTTTTGTTTGTTTGTTTTGAAAATACCTTCTCATAATACTGAATTCATAAAACTAAGAAATATGTTAGTTGGTGACTTACAACTCTCCTGCTACTGTAGCAAAGATAGCCTATTTCAGAAGCAGTAATGTTTATTTTCTTATTTATTTCAAGCTCTTATTTCCAGGCACTTTGCAGTCATAATTCTATATCCCCTTATTGTGTTACTTACCTACATTTGTGATATAGAGGGGAAGCCAGAAGAGGAACGTATAGCTCACCAGCTTTGCAAACAGAAGACAAAGGGAGAACTCTATGACTCCCTGAGAGAAGAAGGAAAATAGGAAGTTAGTATCTTGACAGAGGATGCTATTTGCTTTCAAAGACCATTATGAAAATGGTTTCTAAGAAACATTTAGGCTTTTCTTTTTCTCTCAACAATTACCAAGAAGCATTCTTCCCCAGAGAGCACAAAGCTTACAGAGCAGACTGTGGTGTTCTACTTAATATGGTTTCTCTTCTCTAAATTGTACTGAATTGACCAAAGAGAGAACACTAAAATGAACAGGAAGGATTTGACACTGTTTGGGACACCTGCATCACTTCTTTTTCTCATGTAAAGAGTTTTCATACAGCATTATAGCAGGTTTGGAGTGTATTACAAAGAAATTGGGGCATTTTTCTGTTATTTAGATCCTTCCTTCAGATGGGTCTATGATTTCTCCCTTATTGTTTAACTCTCTACAAAAAGCCAGTTAACCAGTGTGACACACTTCAAATCAGTATGTGGTAAGAGCACACTACAGACAGGGCATATGCCTATTTAAAATACTAATTTGTTCCATCCTCTTTCCTGCTGGGTATACAAAAAGTATACTTACTGCACATAGCTGCGACTAAACTGCCAAATTAACCTATCTTTGTTCCCCTCACCATCTGATATCTTTTTGTTTGAAACCAAATTTAAATCCCTGGTATGGAGTACTGCAGTTATCTGCATGGACAACACACATACACAGCTGGCTCTACTTCACATACAGCTGTGACCCTTCCCAACAACAGGCAGGAAAAATACCACAGTTACAGAGATTCCAGGTGGCAGCAGCAGCAATTTTTCTACCCATTACTTCCACTTGCCACAGGAAAAACAGCTGAGACAGAGCATCAGACTGGACAGGACGAGAAAATGCAGGAATACAGCGGCTGGGTGCTGGGGATTTCCTCCCCTGCCTTTACACCCGGTCCAAATCAATTTGCCTATAATTCTACTTGTGCAACCTACTGAAGCTGCTATGCTTCAAGCCAAGAGGAAATATCAAGGATGATAGTCCCTGACCTAAAGGAAACTACCTTTCCTTTTACCAGCAGTCCGAATGTTTGGGCTGTCTGAAACTTCTCAATATGAGCCATACAAGAGATTTTAAAATTAAAGCTTTTAAAAACAATCTTGAAGAGTGTAAAAGGGAAGCCATGGAAGGAAGTCCTGACACAGAGAAGTGCTTATAGACAGCCTGCCATTCCATCCTTAATACCCTTGTGTCATTAACTAAGACCAGTAAACTTTTACAATAGACTTCAGAATAGAATAGACTATTTCAGTTGGAAGGGACCTACAATGATCATCTAGGCCAATGGCCTGACCACTTCAGGGCCCACCAAAAGTTCAAGCATGTTGTTAAGGGCATTGTCCAAATGCCTCTTAAACACTGACAGGCTTGGGGCATCAACCACCTCTCTAGGAAGCCTGTTCCAGTGTCTGATCACCCTCTCAGTAAAGAAATGCTTCCTAATGTCCAGCCTAAATCTCCTCGGGCACAGCTTTGAACATTCCCACACGTCCTACCACTGGATACCAGGGAGAAGAGCTCAGCACCTCCCTCTCCACGTCCCCTCCTCAGGAAGCCATAGAGAGCAATGAGGTCACCCCTCCGCCTCCTTTTCTCCAAACTAGACAAGCCCAAAGTCCTTTGTGGCTCCTCACAGGACATTCCCTCCAGCCCTTTCACCAGCTTTGCTGCCCTCAGGCATTCAAGGACCTTCTTAAACTGTGGGGCCCAGAACTGCACACAGTACTCCAGGTGAGGCCGCACCAATGCTGAATACAGCAGGATAATCACCTCTTTTGACCAACTGGTTATGCTGTGCTCAATGCACCCCAGGATGCGGTTTGCCCTCTTGGCTGCCAGGGCACACTGCTGACTCCTATGGAGCCTGCTGTTGACCAGCACCCCCAGATCCCTGTCTGCAGGGCTGCCCTCCAGCCCGTTACCCCATCCTAGGTGCAGGATCTGGCATTTGGACTTGTTACATTTCATCCCATTAATCATTGCCCAATGCTCCAATCTATCTAGGTCCCTCTGCAAGGCCCCTTGTCCCTCAAGAGAGTCAACAGCACCTCCCAGTTTGGTATCATCAGCAAACTTGCTAATGGTGCATTCAACTCCTGCATCCTCATCGTTAATAAATATATTGAACAGAACTGGCCCTAGAATTGAACCCTGAGGAACGCCGCTGATGACCGGTCGCCAGCCAGATGCAGTCCCATTCACTACAACCCTTTGAGCATTGCCCTTCAGCCAGTTCTTCACCCAGCGCACTGTGAACCCGCTCATCCCACAGCTGGACAACTTGTCCAGAAGGATGCTGTGAGGGACAGTATCAAAAGCCTTACAAAAATCCAGAAAAACTCCATCCACTGACTTCCCTTCATCCACTAGGCGGGCGACCTTATCATAGAAGGATATCAAACTAGTTAAACAGGACTTTCCCTTTGTGATCCCATGTTGACTGTGCCCGATGACTGCATTATTCTTTAAATGCCTTTCAGTAGTACCCAGTATAATCTTCTCCATAATTTCTCCAAGAACTGAGGTTAGACTAACAGGTCTGTAGTTCCCTGGGCTTTCCCTCGCACCCTTTTTGTAGATTGAAGTAACATTGGCTCGCTTCCACTCAACAGGGACCTCCCCAGGCTCCCCAGGCCTTTGGTAGGTCCTGCCGCAACATCCGCTAGCTCCTTCAGTACTCTGGGATGAATCCCATCAGGCCCCGTGGACTTGTGAACATTCAGCTGATATAGCTGGTCCCTTACAATTTCAGTGTCCAGAAATGGAAAGTCACCGTTCCCACACTCATAGTCCTCCAACTCAGGGAACCAGGCAGCCCAAGGTCTATAAATATTATTAAAGACTGAGGCAAAAAATGCATTTTACATTATAGGCTGCCCTAGTATTAGTTATAATGAGGTGGGGAAAAAAAAAGCCGTTTATATGGGTACTGGAGCCTAGATGCTTGTAGTTTCTAAGATACAACCAATGAGCTTATGCCATCTGCTTACTGGAGAAGAGAGTCCTCCTGTATCTATTTTCACTCCTCCTCTGAGGGGGGGCACACCTTGTCTTGTGTACCAGAATCTGCTTTAGCCTATATACACCAGAGCTGCCAATCAAAGCTTGTGATGCAAAGTTAATGTCATCTACCACTCCATCTAGAACTTCATGGAAATATGAATTCTGAGGCAAAACTTAATTCTTAGAGGAACAGGCAAGAATAGTGCATGTACTCACAGGTATTCGCAAGGCCCCAAGAAAGCTGATAGCTGATGTCCCATGTCTACCTTCTACTGTGACCACAGTGCTGGAGTTCAGTGACACATTGCAGTTTTCACAGTCAGTAAGTAAATGCTGCATCTCCGGATCCTGCAATTTCCCCCAGTGACACCATATAAAAAAGAAAGGAACAATGCATCAAAACACGTATCAAGGAATCAAATAATTCCAAAATAATTTTTGTAAAAAATTATCTATTTTATCACAGAAAGTTACAGCTTTTAAAAATCTCTTGATCTGGATATGCAGAGTAGAGAGAGAGAGAGTATATGCAGAATATCAAGTGAAACAAGCCTGGTTGTTTATGTCTGAGTGCATATACTCCATTACAGAATCAAGTTTCTGTTCTATTGTGGAACAATTTCAAGTTGCAAAAAACACATATTAAGAGTACAATTCAATGGAATAAAATGATTTCCAGTCTTCCCTTACCCCACTACATAAATGTGGTCTAACTAAAACTGACAATCTACTGAGTACTACAGTGCATTTCTGTATAAAAGCATGTATTATCTTTTTTCTGTACAAATATTAAGCCCATTTTTCAGATTCCCTAACATCACCTTATTCACCGATTTAGATACAGGCCATCTTTGCAATTGAATTATGGATACTGAGTGCTTTATGTTAAGCAATCACTTATTTTTTCATGTCTGTTTCATTTGAACATTGCAATCCACAAATTATAAAAGCCTGGAGTTTACCAATATTACTTAAGTTGTGAATTCTGAGTTCTTTTCTAGCACTAGGAAGTATTTTACTCTAATAATTCCACTGGCTGCTAAGAATACTTGTGGAGCAAGTTCTCACTCAACAAGAACAAGCCATCCCAGTCTAGCCATACGGATATCTTGTTATTTTTATCCATCCACCACACTGAAGTGAACTCTCAGGACAGAATTGGAAATTTACATCTTACAGCTGTACATAGAAAAAGAAATTTCAGGTATAAATAATCCTCGGCACGTCTTTTCCAACTCAGAAAAAGGACAGGCTGTAGCTATCCTCACTTCCACCTGCTTGCTGAGAAGCTCACCTAGCTGTGTACTTTTACTAGCTATGGATGTATTCTACATACTGTCTTGCTTCTCCCAATTCTTGTGCATTTGAGTAAAGCCTTAGTGGAGAATTAAGCCCAAAATATATATTTGGCTGTAGGTTAGTAAGGATAAAACAGCAGGCCATTCCATTTCCAGTAGTTATTACAGAGATTAAAATTTTCCAATTAATATTTGGTAAGCTGAAGGAGGAAGAAAGAAAAAAAAAAAATCAAGTGCTGGACAAATTCAATTCTGTTATTTTACACTCAGTGATTCTAAATAAATTCTGTTTTTAAAGAACTTCATTTAGGAGAAGACACTAGGGAACCATCTGGGCACCTGAGCCCAGACACTTTGCATAATTTTAGAAGCTACCATGCAGCATCCAAAACGTTTGCACAGGACTGGTAGACAAGATTCAGGATTTACAGGAGACCCTGCACCCTGATGAAGCATTAACTAGAAGACAGGAAAAACATCTTAGGGACCTCTGACATGCACTGTAAACCTGTGCTATAGCATGAGTCATTCCATCATCATTGTAAGTATTTATCTTCTGAATTACTGGAGCAACTTCAAAACTTGAACTATTTTAACAGTAGCAATTCAAACTACCAGCTATTAACAATAAATAAAAATAAAAAAATTAAAAAACCAAACCCCCCCAAAAAAAACACCAGGGAAACACACAGAAAAAACATGGGGAGAAAAGGCAGATGAAAAAGGGCTTAAGCAGTGAAGCTCCCCACTGGATTCAATGGAAGACATGTCTAGACAGTGTCTTCAGTGACTCTCTCTTGCACAATTTGCACAGCAACCCTAACCAGGATTGTCTGAAGTAATGCTGCTCATTTCTCAGACAGGTAGCTCCAAGCCTATTTAAGAAGAGAGGGTTAAATATTGAAACAGAAGTAACCAAAGTCCAAATAACTTATTTAGCAACTCATGCTGGAAACTTTTATCAACAATATGGGATTTTTATACTGCACATAGCTAAATGATAAATAAAACCAGCAGTTTGTGCTTGGCAGAGATAACATTGTTCAGCCTTGCCAGCTTGTCATAGAGTGTGATTAGGCATATGGCAGACTCTTGATCTCTGGGGAAGGATTCATTATACCTCGATTTTGTGTAATTTTTTAAGAGGCCAACCTGATATAAGTGGTAATGAACACACGGAGGTATTCAGGTCACGCAGTAAAAACACATTCTGCTTTCAATCACTGCATATCCTGAATATTTGCTTTCTTTTTACAGTAATTGAAGAGGTCAATGAAAAATCAGTAAAAGCTGCTGTTCCAGTATGCTTGGAGGAGACCAGCTCATAAATGCAAAACATCTGTTGTTTGTACAGGCACAAAAGCTGACTGTGATAATCAGCTCAGCATAACTGTAACACAACCACTGTAAAAAGAAAAGACGTTCAACTCTGCTTTGACAGCAAAAAGATTATCTTTTGTCACTGGCAGAAAATCAGGGGGGTCCCCAACAGTGGCAAGCAAGGATTTTTATTTTTTATTTTTTCTTAAAGTGTTGTTGGGACTCCACACTACAAACAACCAACCCAGCTGGCAGGATTGAGGGGGGGGAAAAAAAAAAAAAAAAGGAATATTGACGGGATTGCCAGCGAGTGCCCTTGTGCTTTGTTGTCCATGTGGTCTCTCTGTCCTGCCCACGAGGGAGCACCGGTCAGTGTGAGAGGAGGTACATCTGCACAGGCTGACAGCGAGGGTGCCTATCAGAGTTACTAGCAGAGCTAGAAGAGAAATATTTGCCTGCTAATTTGATGACTGTATTTTAGTTGTCTTCATGACTTGTCTAAAGACACCTACTGATATTTTTACATCTTCTCCCCTTATCTTCCAGCTGGCTGTGAAATAACATTGACAAATGATTTCTGGGCTGGAGACTGTTGTTGGGCAGCTCAAAATGAACACAAATAAACTCAGTACAGAGGGGGTTTAAGCTGGACTGATAAAAAATACGAGTAAAGTGTTTCCTTAAAAATTTCAAAACCTTTTCATCAATGCTGATTATTATAGCCTGTGAACGATGATGATTATTCTATGGGCAAAGGATGAAAAGAACAGGAAGTTTCTGTTTTCCTGTAAAAGTCTGAAAGAAGTTAAGAAAAGAGAGTTATCCTCTCAGGATATGATGCGCCAAGTGTACTGAATGCAAACACAAAATTTCAAATGGAAATTTTCAGTTAATGTCCATCACAAGATAAAATGTCTTTTTGCCCACAAATGGGCAAATCCAGAATTCAGTTTCCAGTGAGAATTACCAGCACTTATGCTTACAAATTTTAAGCATGATTTCTATGAATAATTGCTCATCTTTAGAACTCCCTGTCTCCACATATAATCTTGTAAGTACATACAACTATTACATTAAAAAGGGAGAGAAGTGAGACTGCAAGGAGGGGACAAACATGCTAAGTAGTTTAAAGATTTCAAATAGGCTATTTTTAAAATATTTTGCAGTGCATACTTTTGCGGGAATTGTATGAAGATCACAAGACCAACTGAGTAAGCATGCTATCTTATTCAGCTCAGTTTGCAGTATTTATGTTAGATAATGCTTAATTCCCTCATCTGAAGTTACATTTGTATATGAAGATGGAAGTAGATTTCAGCATAATAAAAAGAGGAGAAATCTTTATTGATAGTAAATCTACTGTAAATATTCCATGTGAGCTTTAGGAAGTCTTCTATATTATTTTACAATACGTTATATTGTACCTGAGGTTTGCTGGTTTCCTTAGCATTTAAGGTTGGCATCTGGACTCTGAATCGAGCTGCACCATTCAGGAAGGTTTTAGAACTCTGAAAAAAACAAACCAAACCAAAACAACCCCATACTTTTGCTGCCTGTTTTTTAAAAGACTATATTAGCGTTAATCATTTCTCTGCAACAAAAGTCTTTGTGCATTGTAACATAAACATAACCCCAAATGAAGCATCTTTAATTTAAGGACTGTATATTTCAGGTTTTCGAAGTTCTTATGCAGACCTATGGCAATGTACATAACATGCAATCACAAATTTATTTGAAGGCTAACTTCATACTGTTTTTAGACAGAAAAAGCATACTGAATTCAGAGCACAGTCATGCCATTCTTAACATCTTTAGCTGTTTTTTCCTCTACTGAACTTTCATTGACATTGTAAACTTAGTTTTTTCTCATAAGTAGATGATCCTAGTAGCAACTACAGAAATTGATTTGTTTCAGGAAAACCTTGATTCTTCATTTCCCCGTCCCTTTAAGATAAAAGTTTATCCCTTTAGCTTATGCTTAGTTATTGTGCATATTCTTCTAAGCCAGAAACAGACTGTGCTGTTGTGGGCAGGAGGGTTAATGAAGGGTCTGAGCATCTCCAGTATACTCAGTATCGAAATCAAGGCAACAAGCTATATTTTAGGCCCCAGATGGATCTGCTTTTTATACTTACTTATTAACAAACCCATTAGTGTATCAGTTCACACAAAAATGGAATTCACTGGAAAACATCATTCTGAGATCCTTGGTCCAAAAAGATTTGCCAGGAACATTAAAGTTTGTCCGCTGAATTAAATATACTGCTTCAAAGTAGGCTTGCAGTCAGGCAGGGACAACCGATTGCTAAGACCACAAGAGGCAGTGTGCATTCCTCAGGGATGAGATGTTTGTTTAAGTGTCTAATCACACTATGGATGCCACATTAAAAAAAAACAAAAGAAAACAAAAATCCCAAACCCCGCCCCAAATAAAACCCCCGAAACCCACCACCATGAATAAAAAAAACAATGCCCATCCTCACTGAACGTTTTAATTCAAAATGCATCACTAGGTAATTCTTCCCCAACAAAAACACAAGGATATGTGCTGCAGTATTCTTTAGACAAACTGCCATTCATCAACCAAATCCTTCTAAGAAGGCAAAAAACTTTTGAGGATAAACTAAAGTATTTCTTCTGCTCAATGCAGAGCAGAGGCGCAAGCACTCTTGGGCATCCATTCCCCAACATAAACAAACAACACTCAACCCCCCCCCAGGGTCTGATAAAACAGATTTTTAAATTTTATCTTACAGAAAATTAGGCTCTTGTCAAAAAAGTGGTTTACAATAATCTGTGGGGAAGAAAATCCCTTATCTAGAGACAAGTCATCTACATCTTTATTCAGCAGCTCAGCAGAGAAAAAATGAAAGACTTTTTCATTTGACTGTCAAAAAAAAGATTTTCTGTGGTAAGGAGGAAATGTCTGGGGAAAAGGACTAGACTGAGAGGCTGCACATTTAATACTTAGACTTCTTTCTCCTTTTCAGAAGATAAAAATTGCAGCCTGGTATCTTTTAAATGCACAAGCACTTTGCCACAGGAGTTTGAGAGCTAAGTTTCCTGGAAATGTGAAGTCAGGTTAAAAGAAAGTTCCTAGAACATAAAGACAGGTCTGTGTGAACATGCTGCAACTAACATGTTTACCTAGGGAAAAAAAAAACCAAAAAACAAAAAAACACAACAACAAACCCCAAAAAACAGGTACAGGGAGAAAAGATGAGAAGCAACAAACCCAGTTCTAAATCATCACATTTCACAGATGTCATTAAAGCTACTCTTTAACTTTCATTATGAAAGTGCACCAATGCTTAATAAGCACACTGACTTCTCACTTGCATTTGTCATAGGTATAGCCTTTTGGAAAGTCATAGATTAAGCCTCCAATGCTAGCATTTAAAAGCACTTTATTGTACTCAAATATTTGTTTTGAAACAAATTTCAGGTTCATAAATCAGAGCCAAGGTGAATACAAGCAAATGAAGCACAGCCCAAGAAATCAGTGAATAAAGAATAAGAACCGTGCATTCAAGGCTCTGTGCCTGGCTCTCTCTGTGTGCCTCTGGACAACTTGATGAAATCGGATTACTCACCACTACAAACGCTGTAGAAATATTGGGCACACGATCATGCTGCAAATAAACAGTAGACCAAATTCATCCAAGATAGCGATATCACACAGAGATGAATCTGATCTACAAATCTTAATATAAATCTACCCGAAGTCCTTCTCTCATGTTGAGCATTTATTTTAGTTGTGCTTAAATTTAACTGGCCTCATTCTTCCACAGTGAGGTTTGGCTTTTGGCACCAACTGGCAGAGCTGCCTGCACCTAAGCAAGACATCTGTCCAAACTGACCTACTATGGCCTTATAAGAAAAGCAAGTGTGTATATTTCTTTAATGCCTTAGAAAAAAAAACATTTCTAACTATTTGCAAAAGCACAGAGGATATTCAGGTTGTCACTGAAATGACTGAGCAAAAAAAGGACAGCTAGCATTTTATTCCTGCCAGCAAATTCTACCCCTTGTACAACACGGCTGAAATTTTTTGTTCCCTGTAATAACACAGTCTATTTTATGATATGAACCTTCCTTCAATTAACAGTTTTCTTTACAGTCAGACATTGTCATTACCACATCTGCATTTGTAGATCTTCTTGAACTTCTATTCTTACCTTATTAATTTCCTTAACTTCTAAAACCACCCTCCCTGCAGCGCACAGAAGCTGTGAGCCCTATTCATTAAGGATTTAGAACCCATTGTACTTTGCAGACCACACAGGTCTGAAGAGAGGTATCTGAGCAATTCAAATGGCATACGGCTTCCCAAGGCAATGGCAAATCTTAATCTGAGAAGGGTCCAAGGCAGGCGGGGAAGCACTTTTACAAGCCTCCTACAAGATTTGCAGATGTGCGTATATGAAGTACGGAAGGAAGAAGTGCTGCCTTTTGCTCTGGAGAGCAAGGTTTCCAGGGAAACAGAAGGTCAAATGCATCCCTACGCAATGAGACTGCGCCTGGAGCAGTGGTCTTGCTGGTGTCCTAGAGAAGATTAGGTCAACTGCTAGCCCTTTTCTGGGAAAAAAAAGCTCCTAAAATACTAAGTTTTTGTTAAAAATATCATGGCAAGTAGATACTGAATGTCATATTTTTCCATACCAGCTCCTTGAGACAGATGAGCAACATATTATGTTATGCTTTCCAGTAAAAGTGTATTTGAAACAAATAACAAACATTTACTTCCATAAAGCTTAACAGGAATTCTGTAAACATTATGCTCTAGGCATTATAAACATTAGCTGAAATGTTCATGGGAGCATTTCTGAACTACATAAAAGCTAGGGAAAAAAATGCCTCCTGTTAGGAGTCTTGAAGAGTCACTTAAAATATTCTCATACTTGACAGAAGTTACCTTTAAGAAATGAAAGAGAATTAAATGAAAAATACAGAAAGCATTGTGAGCACACCTTATCTCACAGTAATAAATTAAGAATAGGAGTTCCACAGACCATTAGAAGTATTCAGAAGCTTTATCAGCAGTACTTCATATGAGGAGAAAAAACCCATTAACTGGTAAAAAAGAGATAACAGACTAGAAAAGTCGCCTTTGGTTACTATTCAAGAAGAAGAGAGCATTTAAAATGTAAAAAGCCATCTATCTGAAACTACTGGGGGGGTGATAAAAAAACAGCAATCATCCCTGTACAATCTACGTGCGAGACTTGCAACTAAAAGGTACAGTTCACATATACCTGCATGTGCAGACAAGCTCCATGTATAACCCCCTAGCACTGGAAACCATATGTGGGATTCCCTTGGGACCTTCCCTCCGATACTTTCCCCAACAGCCCTGATTTGCCCTCACACATGGGGAACCTTAAGACCTTCTTTGCCAACCTACCCCTACTATTCTTCCAAAGAACTAGCTGAAAATGTGGCAGACCTGGTTGCCCACAGGTCCCCGGGAGCCAAAGCAGAAACTGCCTGGAGCAACAGGCTGCTCTAGGTTTTGGTTACAGTAGAGACAAACACATACCAGAGTCTTACGGAACATGAAATGGGGATGAACCTGCAAACACACTCCTAAATGAAACTGGGCTGCAAATGACATTCTGTTACGAGAAGTTATACACAGCTGGTCTTCCTAATGCTCTCTTTTTTGTTCGCTTTCCTTGGTTTTTATTTTTTCTCGTTCTGTTTGGATTGCCTCCCTCTCATCATGCCATACCTAAGCAAGGAAGGCAACAGCGGGAGATAGGTCAAGATGCTCTGAAGATGCCCAGGAGGACTGGAGGAAAGTAAGAAAACTCAAAAAAAAGATGAACAGTTTTTACCTGGTTTACTGTAGTAAGATCATCTATTCCAAAACTCTAGTTAAAACAAACTCATTCACCTCTTGATTCACATTGCTTTAATAGAAAGTAAGCTACTGGTTTACCAGTGAAGCACAGAAGACCAATCATTCCCTCAAGCATAGAGTCGGTTATAACAGCCTGGGCCACACAGCTTATCTGATTTCCAGAACTATCATAATAAACGTGTATTAGGAGGCAAAAATCAAAATAGAAAAAGCATTCACTTACACTGGATGGCGTGCAGGAGCAACTTACATCTCTAGGATCTGAAATACAATGCCATGCATAGTTAATAGTGAAAACAAGCATAATGAATATCTCTTGAAACACTCACCAGCAGTGTAATTTACCGACAATAAACTAACAGTACAGATCGCACAGAAGTAGTCCTGGTAGAAATGTGTAACGGTAGCTTTAGAAAAAAAGAAAAGGGTGCTCCATGGTACCCTTCCCATCCTATGACCACATTAAGCGTTATTCTGGCAGTCCAGCTCATTACAGCATTCTAGCTACATTCGCAGAACTTTTTACTTCCTGAGATAGGACAGGTACAGTAAAATAAGCATTCATACTAGTATCTCTGAGTCTACACAGGGACTAGATGAGGCATTCCTTTTTAATTTATAATTTAAAGTGACAAAACTTGCTTCATCGGCTGACTTCTGTATTTCATACCACAGAATATGGCTGGCATGGGTTGAATGGTAGCACAGAATATACATTGCAGCCAGGTGGGACGTTCTGCTAAGATACACTTGAACAATTTATAGACAGGGAACTACTGCCAGGGCAGTGGACTGAATTCTGAATTGTTACTCTCTCAGGTATGCCAGCGTCTGAGCATATCAACTCTTTAGATGTACACAGGTTCCTCTCCATCTAGTGTTCCAGGAAGTTCTCGAAGTATTGGCATAGCTTGAGGAATATACTTTGCACTGGGTCATTTAGCTTAAACAGCTGGTGTTCTTCACCCATAATGAGCCCTCCATGGTTCTATCCCATTAAAGCACTTACGTTCAATAAGAAACAGGAAACAAACAATCCCCATCACAGCAATGATAACACCAGGCATCACGAAGGAGAGACCCCAGCATGTAGACACCCAATAAGCGGCAATTAAGGATCCCAAGATATTTCCCACTGAAGTGTGTGAATTCCAGATTCCCATGATCAAACCTCTCCTGCATTTAAAAAAAAAAAAAAAAACAAACAACCAAAAACCACAAACATTTTTTATTATTCCAACAATAAGCATTACTGTCTTGAGAAAAGTGTATCACAAATGACTGTTCATCTGTGGTGTTAGTGAAATATTTGCAATCTTACTGTTCTGTAACTGACCACTTCTTTATGCTACAGTCTTTCATCCGGCAATTTCAAGGCACCTCAATTATTAATAGAAGTGTTCTAAATACTTCTCCGTGCACGACAGAACTCATCCTGCATTTAAGGGCATTTAAAGGCACCACTAGGGCTTGTATATTTCTGGAGAGAGTTTCTTTGATAAAAACAAGTATGCAGATGTCGCGTATCACATGCACGCTAAGTCTGATGCTTCAGGGAATGGAAGTCCTCCTGCAAACACATTGCACTGATAATCTGATGCTTTCAGGATATGTTAGACTTATCATGCACAAGAAAAAAAAATCTGTACAGGATACGTAGAGCAAATTCAGTATTTTCTGATCACATTCTGGACTTGCTAGGCACTAGGAGAAGGTAACTCCTGTGCAAGCTTGGCTAACAGACGCATCAAACTGCTGTCTGCCTGGAAATCCCAGATTAGAGCTGCTGTAGAATAGCTCCAGCTGAGCTAATGTAAACCACAAAAATCCTACTGAAGTGATGACAGTTAGCAGGTTTTTTTTCCTTGTAAATCATAGGAAAACTGCCTTGCCCTCAGCAGGAGTTTACCTGGAGCAACCTAATTCGAACTAAACCAAATCTTTTCCTTTTGCTGAAGACAAGATCTAAGAGGTCTGCTCATGTTTCACAGAATTTGTAGCAAAATGAAAACAAGAACCAGATCACTGACATTCAAACCAGAGCCCTATCCACCAGTCCACTCTGCAGTGTCCTGAAAGTAAAGGCTGTTGCTTTCAAACAAAGCAAAATCCAAATAAATATATTTGTTTTGCACAGACTCACCAATTTTGTTCAGCATTGTATGACAGTTATTATTCTCTGCATTTTGTAACATTCACCGAAAAGGCTGCAGAGACTATGGAAAACTAGTTTGAGCCCACATCTTCTTAACTATCCTGTGATTTTATACAGAAAGCATATACTTAATTTTCACATGTCCTTCTCTTGAACCAATTGCCAATAATGTTCATTCAATGGTATGTATGTACAATGGATGGCACTACAGTAGCATTACTATATGCTACATGCATCAACCATTATCAGAGCCAATGGATTTAGCATGCAGCTCTTGCAAAATGTATGGAAAACTCCTGTATGGTATGAAAAAATAAACATTATGAGTGATCTCTATGGAGGATTAAGAAGGAAAAAAAAAAGACGATTTAAAGAAAGCGACAAAAAGAAAGGTTAAATCAGTTGCCATATGTATTTTCTTTTTTTATTTAAATTTTCAAGGTTCTGTAAGTGTGTTAGAAAAAAAGACATTAGACAAGAAGATACTTTTAGAGTTACACCCTGACAACTGATTTGAAACACAAACGAAAACACGGGAAATTCCACATTAAAATGGCATAATAACAGCCTTTATTAAAGCTGTTTTAGACTTAATATTTGCAAGAATTATTCTTAATTCAATTCTGAAATATTTCATCTGAAAAATTAAACATCAGACTAAAGAGCTACCACAGAACACTGTTTAGACATGAGAGAGAATTTCAAACCGATAAATAAACTAATCAACGTAACAAAGGAAACTCCTCTCAAAGACCTACGTAACTGCTTGTTTCATCCCAAAAAAAACACTGAAGCAAAAGAAAGATATTTAAATTGACTATAATATTACAGCCCAGAATGTGTTGATTTGTACTTCCAAAACTTTGGATTACGTATCATTTACCTTCCTTTTCCAAACCAGTTGCCAATACATGTAACGACGCTTGGCCAGCCAGTAGTTTGCACCAACCCATTAGCTATCTGAAAGTATATAAAAATAATAATAAATAAACATACCCTTAATAAGTCAGGTTCCTACACAATTTGAACATATGGCAAAGCATGTTTGCAATCGAACAAAGGAAAAAAAAAAAAGAAAACTTTAGGGGAGACTGGATAACTTTAAACATTAACTTTAAAATGCTTAACAGACACTTGTAAATACACTGAGAGGAGAAATTTAATTTACTATATTTGGGCTGAAGTAAGAACTATTTCAGCCTCCATGCTGCACAGATCATAACCCTAACTCATCTCAACTCCTAAGAAGTTCCCTATCTTGAATTACACATTAACAAAAAGGTCACAATACAATAATTCACTTGTAAAATGAGCATTTGAACATGCAACGAAACGACCTCACTCTACCCAACAAAAACGAATTAGGCTGGCGGTGCAAGACCACCCTTGGCATTACAGGATTCACTGACCACGTCATGCAGTGCAGCATTGGTAGAGATAGCTGGCTTAACCCTAAAGGAGCCAGCTCCTGCCTGGGAAACCACATAAGCCAAGAGCGCTGGGGCAGCGACACGGTTAAACGGATGACGTGGTGAAACGGTTATAAAAGCCTGCGGTACCCAAGTTAGTATCGCGGCATGCTGTGTTGCACAATGCCATGCACGTGTGCCAGTGGTGGAAGTCCTACTGCAGTAGCACAAAGAAAGCAGCAGTGCAAGGTGCAGACCTGTCCAAAATGACTCAGAAGTGCTAACCATATCCTGGTCCTGACCTAAATTCCATTTTACATCAATGGTCAATATTCTCGTGACACCTGATTAGATCTACAAGTGCTCTGAAAAATCCCACACAGTGAATCTCATTACAGAAGCTGCCTGTTCTCAGCCGCACCAATGTGGGAGACTGTTCATCATTAGCAGTATAAATGTAATTTTCCTGCAGAGAAAGCCAGGATGAGTCACTCAGGTCTTGGCAGACTGACAAAAGTAAACACACTTGTTTTAAAACTCGCCCACATTTAAGCTTGGATCACTGATTTGACACAGACTGAAACACTTAAATTTGTTTTCAGAGTTCTTCCACTAAAAAAACATTTTTCAAAGATAAAACCTGGGGCTATCCACTCTATCATTTCTGCCTGTCATCAACGACAATGTACGCCAGCATTTACATCCTCCCATCCAACCACACTAATCACTGTTTGCAACTGAAAAAAACCCAATACTACACTAAACAGCACCATGGAAACTCAGAGTATCTAAATAACATCGTGCCTACCTGGGCCATTATGTAAAACCACAGATTATGTATATTATAGAAATAACCCAATCCAAACATTGCAGTGAAGAGTCCGCTAGCAAGCATCCCAACTGTCAGATAGTACCGGATAGGTAGCCGTTCTCCTATTATTCCACTTGGAATGTGGAAGGAAATAAAAAGAAAGGTAATAATTAAAAATGAGATCATATCCCAAGCCTTTACAAATAAAGAATATTTTGTGTTGTTTAATTCTGGTTGAGGAGAAACTTTACTGGTAACTGCTGTTTTCCTTCACAGCAGCAAATGAGCAATTTTTAGCACCTGACAAAAAAAAAAACAACACACAACAACAAACATTTGATGTTCACTAATTGCCAAGCGCTGACATCTGCACAATTGTCTTTCAGGGAGATACACACCTGGAGCACACTGGAAGTCATTTACTTACAGAGTCATTTTCCAAATGACCCATAAGGTGGGACATGTCTCCAGCCACTTAAAGTGAGACTTGTCTCCCTTGCTAATGATTCTAGTTATGAAGGTTCTGGTTTTAGTCACTAAAAAGAAGCATCTCCAAACAGCAGCTAATATCGCACATTTTAAGACGGGTTCAGGATTATTTTTTAGGAGGTGGCTGCTTCTGTCCTGTGACTACACAGAAAGCCAGGACAATCAGTTTAGTCTACACGTGCAAGTTGGAGTCGGATAAAGTTTGAGGACATGTATTCCAGCGTATATTATTCCACATGAAGGAAAGACAGGCTAGCCTGCAAGTTGGAAAGGCAGTCAGGATGGGTGCAGGTAAGAAGCCTTCTATATACCAGCAGGTACGACACCACTGGGGACTGAGAATGATGTGGTTTTTTTCCTCAGCAACCAAGTTCTCACTCTCTTCACCAGCAACTTTACAGTGGGAAAGGACAATATCTCAGAAGTAGTACAGCCTCATAAATTAACAGTAAGCAATAAAGCAGGTTTCCAAGAGAGTGAGGTTTACCTTAAATACATTCCAATTGCATATGCACACAGAAATGAGTAATCCAGTGCTCCCAGTAACTGTTTGTAGTTGTTCTTATCTAAGAATAATTTTCAACACAAATTATCAGTTTAAATGTACCAATAATTTCCCAACCATTTTTACATATTACAAGAAAAATGTTAGTGAACATGCACAGACACTTAATTTTCAATAGGCACTTTTAGACTTGAGCATGCATTTTGCAAAACTTTTTATTTACCCAAAAAAATCCCCTCTACAACTGACCCTTTTGCCTGTAACTTAATTCTTAATTCTATCTTATTCAAAACAGCATTTTGGAAGAGAAGAAACATCAGTTATTAACAAGGTGCCCTTTTCTTATAGGTCCTTAGACAAAAAAAAAAAAACACAAAAAACTTTAATGGACTTTATTAAAAGTGGAAAGACGCGTTGCAAATGTGTGAGGTCCTAACAGTCAAAATGGCTAAAAAAAAAGCCATCATCATATAGGCTTTTAAGGAATTAGCTTAATAAATATTTTTTAAATAGCTAAAGCCTTTTGCATTTCGTTTTCCAACTACTCATAAAGCACAGACATAGAAGTCTTGTTTAAAAAAAAACCAAAAAAACCCAGGGTTCTGCTCTGTACCAGAAATGACCACAATCACAACTAAATGGGACTTGCAGGCAGGATGGAGGGAGCAGGAGGGACTCCAACCAGACAGAAACACCAAGTCTAGTCTCAAGAGACCTGAGCTCATACCAAGAAAGACAGTTTGTGTATTTGCAAGGAGCCACAATTCCCATTGACTTTGAGAATAGAGTCAGAGTTATTAAAGCATTCCTTATTTCAGTGTTACTCCCAGCTTGCCAGCTATGTTGCTTGAAAAACAGAGCTGAAAGAACAAGTCTAGAGTGCTATCCCAAGGGGGTAGCTTTGCAATAACCTGTATGCTCATGGAAAAAGGAGGACACTGGAGCTCAGAAGTCTCCATTAAGAAAGCTAACTAGTGTTTTAGACAAGCAAACTCAGTCTCCCCTTGGTCCAGGGACAAGAAACAGCAACCAAGTTTAACTGCATCCCGATACATTTGGAAACCTGTGGGACCATATAATTTCAGTAGACTGATTACCTTGCAGCAGGCAGTTAATACACAGAATTTTGTCCACAGAAAACCCAGAGCTCTGATCTTTAATTATCTTTGAACAGAGCAGGATTTTTTTTAATTGCTAATTAAAGAATAATTAGAAGGGATGACTAGATAGACCGGAGTGGACTGGCACATTGACAGAATGGTCTATTCTACTTCACTGACATTCTTGGTAATGATAAAAGTGTCAAGGAATGATTCAAAATCTCTATTAAATTCCTATACAATTAAATTCAAATTTAATTATAAGTAGGCAAATATTTCTTTCTATTTCAGTGAAAGACCAGGTTCATAAGCTGTTCAGTAAGTTGTCAACTCTATTCTGCAGTAAATTCTCCCATTTTTCTCCATTAAAATGAGGAGAAAAATATTCTTTCTGGCAGGTAAGAACTCTGAAAAGTTCCAATTTAGATAAACACCAAGTAATTTCATTTAAATGATTGCTGGACCTTGAACTAAAATAGCAGAAAATTATAATGGTTTATTTTATTCTTCACCCTTTTTTTCCTTAATAGACACTCTAAAGACAAATCCCATTTTCTGACTGAAAACTGATCTACTGAAACCATCTCATAGCTATAACAGGTAAAATAATGTCAGTTGTTTAAGTGACTAAGTAGGAAAGGCATCATAAGGTAAGTCACAACTTAACTTGGTTTGGAAAAATCAATGAGAACATGGAAACAAAACACTCCTCCCATACGCATCTTCTGAATCCCTCCACACATGGAGAAGAAATAGGAAGAGGCAAATAATCTAATTATGAATATCAGCTCATTATTATGAAAGAAAAAAAGGAAACAAAAAGAAACAACCCTTACCAAATGGCTCCCAACCACACTGAGATACATTAGATGGCTTTTTGACAGGCTGAATCTGGGCAGCATATTCTTTGTAGGAGACGAGTTCAACTTCATGTGAAGCAGCGCAATGCTTATGCAGCTCTCCCTGATACAGAAAGGAAATTTGAAAATGGAAAATTCACTTGTGACTGTTAATCCCCATACAGCAATAAATTTAACAATTCTAGCTCTCTATGAACCTGTGTCAAACCCACTGAAATCAGTAAAACTGTTAGCCATTATTAATTGCTTGGTATTTTGCTGGGTGAAGCCACCATTACATGAAAGAGTAATTACGTGGTTAGAAACAACATGCTATAGCGAACTGGTGTTTCTGATACTGCAGAATTTCAAAATTCTTCACTAACATCAAGCTACTTTGCCCATTGTTACTCATCAGTTATATACAATACAGCCCTGGGGGATTTGATTTGTGTTTGGCAAGTTATACAGGCAGAAGATTAAACTAACAAACCTAGAATTAGGTAGTATTTTGCCACCAGCTTCACTGGGAACAGAGTCCCAAGTATACAGACAACTATGACTATGATGTTCAACAGTACTTGGAACAGTCTTGCAAATGCCAGCAGAATTTTATCACGTGTGACTCATCAGTTATTAGCAACTTTTCTCAAACATATGAATGTAAACCTGTAAACTCTTAAATATCTATAATTAGATTAATTCACATGAATTAAGAGTAGGCATAGCTGTTTCAAGTCTTAAGCCCTAAGATTAGACATATACGCAATATTCTAGGTGTGGTCTTACTAAAGTTTACCAAGTAAATGTCACTGCGTACTAGCTTTATCAGTTTTTCATCTTTTAAACCATTCCAGGTTAAACACTGCCTTTCACAAAAGGAAACACTGAAAAAGACGACTACTTCCGTGTTTGACAGGAGTAGAAGGATATTTAAACAACGACGCAACCTCACTTACCTTAACTATACTAATAGGTTTCCTTGATAAATGGAAGCTGGCATACAATAAGAAAGTGAGAGAGAAAATGAAGGCTCTGTACCTACAATATTAAAAAAAAAAAAAGTATTTGAAAATTTTTTTATTCAGATTTCTTTTTAGCACTAAGTTACATAAAGACATTACACAAGTCACTGGTAGTCTTGGAATAGTAGAAGACAACTTTTTTCATGTTCTCTAACAGCCTGAAGAACAACTCTAGCAGTTACACTGCTTTACATCACATGCTCTGATCTGGCTTTGGAAGGGAGCTTAGCAGCACACGGGTATGGGCAGGACAACATGGCAGTGCTCTGGAGTCTACAGAGCTGATCTGCTTTACAACCTTCCTTTGGGGGCTATTAAAAGGCAGTTCAACATTAAACATACTGATAATCAGATTTCACATTTCACTGTCTCATTCGGTTTTCTGGTACGATTAGGACATGATGGCTCTGTGAATTGTCAATTTGGCTACTATGGGTTATTAGTTCTTTCTTTCCTTACTGCTTTTAGGATTTTGCTTTACTTTTACCTTCCTCTGTAACAACAGAAATCATCCCTTTCTAGAGATGGACGGGGGGACTGACACTGACTGTGTACCGTCAGCTGGAGCACATGAACACAATTAACCAGCTTTGGGATTGGGAAGGAATTTTCCCTTGTACCTCACTGGCATCCTTGGGTCTTTCCCTGCGGTGCATCTGAATTAAAAGGGCATCTCAAACTCCCTGTCACTGCAAGCATTGAACAAAGATAACAATCTCTTCTGTTCTATCGTATTCTCTACCTGCAGCATGTTTCAGTTGTTTACAAAGGAGAGTGTTTTGTGGATTTGTGCTTTTAACAATACACAGAGATCAGAGTGTGTCTACTGGCTCCTTCTAGCCTTGATCTTAAAATTAACATCTGTAAATAAAACTACATATATACATACAAAGATCTGATATCACACAGCCTACTATGGTCCCTAACTTTTAATTAACCTTTTCTAATAATTTTCTGCCTTATATAAACTTTTACATAACACGGGTCATTTTATAGTTCTGGCATATTCACAGAGACATTAGGAAAAAAAAAAAAAAAGAGCGAGTTATCCCATGAGTTGTTATTCACCCCCATAATTAAAAACATCCTCACAAGTGATAAAACTGAAATGACTTTGCCCTTGATGCTCTACTAGAGAAAGCATGTGATAAAATTGCTCAAATGGGAAATGCCTCGTCTTTCATTTGATATTTTTTTTGTTAGTCACACACAATTGACTCGGTATTCTATCTCAGAAAGCACAAGAACTGATGCCATCCAACTTCCAGGATTAGTTTTCCTAAAGCAAAGAGGGTTTGGGTTTGGTTTTTTGCTTTGTTTTTTTAACATTACAGTAGCAAGAACTAAAACTGTAATTCTACAAGTCTATATTACACATCAAAATATGGGGGAGAAAACACACTTCTGGTTAAGAAAGCTAACCTCGAGCACCCCTCCCACCTACGAGTTTGAAAACAAAAATCCAAAATTTATCCCTTCAAATACCTTGCAAAGGAAAGGACAAAAAGCTTTATTCTCTAGCACACTTGACTAGTAAGGGTCTGTCTGGTTTCCCCCAATGAAGTATCTCACTTTTTAAATGTCAGCAATATTTATTTATTATACAACTGACTGTATTTTCTTGCTGTATATATTAAGCAACGAAAAAACAAAAATAGAGTAAGGCAACAGTATCATCTTTCCCAGATATGAACTCACATTGTCCAAAACAAAGGTCACCACCATACTTCAAGACTTACCACTGATCACGTGAAAATGAAGTGATGAGGCGAATCCCAGGAGGAAGCTGAGCCATCTACTCTACAGCTGGTACCAAATTTTCAGCAACACAATTATGTACTTGTGACAACGTTAGCTGTTCTTCAGAATGAGTAACAAAGATCCTGCCAAAGCCGTGCGATGGTAGGCTGTTAACAAATGTGGAAGATATGCTGCCAAGTTGATCTCCTTGTAGTTTGTGGGGTTTTTTTTAATATACCTTCAGTCACGATGTGGCAAATTCTTCACTCTGCCTTTGTTAACTGCTGATCTTCAAATAAAAGAAGCTGATAAGTAAATACTCTTACTGAGTTATTGTAATATTTTCTAATCATAACATTTGAATCAGCAATTACCTATTTCAGAGACAAGTAATTACTGTAACTAACCTTCTAGACATCAAAAATGTAATGGAGAATTTTAAGCCAATATAAATCACAGCCTTTTCCGAATTTTATCATGTATAATCTATTTTGAGAAGTCAGCATAGTATAAAGCAGTGGGGACAAAAGAGAAAGATGTACTTACAACATGATCCAAAGCCAGCTGACATCAAAACACTCTGCTTTTGTCCCAGAAAGACTACAAATAGGCAATTCCCCACCTTACAAAGATCTATTTTAACACATCAGAAACATTCATGAGGTTGAAATTTGTTAAAAAAATGACTGTAGTGTTTTCAGCTCAGAACAGAGACTCCGCCAGCTTGAGAGTGGGTGCTGCTGAACAATGCTGCCAGCAAGGCTTGACCAGCACTCCCTCTTCCAGCCTGATTCCCCCATCCCAGTATCAGTCCTGCACAAAGCACCACATCGTCAGAAAACTTGGAAAAGAGAAAAAAAAAGAAAAAGTTTTTTCACCACTTGAGCTCCCCACACCAGCTCATCCAGCACAAGGGAGAAAGCAGGCTCACGTGCACGACATGCAGGGAAGAGTGAGACTGTAGCAGCATCAGTTCGGTTTGGTTAAAAATCTTGTAGAATTCCCCATTTCTTCAAATTTGGGCCGAAGCCCCGCAAGAGAGAAAGATGCACAGTGCCCTTTATTACAGGTACAGCAACAGGAACTAGCTGCATGGTTATTTGGCAGCAAGTCTGAGCCAACTGTTGAGTAAGATGACAAAAGGCACTGTAGGCAAAAGGTGTGACTACACCTCATGCGTGCAAGCCGAGCCTCCTTTTCTGTGCTAACAGCAAAGCCACCCCAGCAGGATGCCAGATAACACACCAGGGTCTGCAGCATAACCCCTACCCTCCCGGTAGCCCAGCTAGTGGGTTTAATGCCAGCACCAGCCACTGCCACGCTCCTGACGGGAAGCTGGCAGGATACAGGACTAGCTCTCCTGGTAAACAACAGCAAAATCTCCTTTGAAGAAAACACACCTGCCAAGACCAAGGGTTTGTCTTAACTTGGGAATTTTAAAGGCTCTCACAGAGCAGGCAAAGGCGAGAGCCTCTCTCTTCCCATCTTTATTGCCCTATCTTACTACAGAAATCAAAACTACTCCTCCTTAGCCAGCTGAATGACACCACCAAACAGTATCTGCTGGGTCAAAGCTGGCAACTTGAAAGCTTCACTATTCACATAGGCTTTTTCCCCAGGAATGGACAAAACTACCACCTCTTCACATAACAGAGTATCACACCAAAAGATCAAGTGTCTGCTCCTTTATGCGAACACATTTTTGTCATACCTTTAATTTTTCCACAGTGTCCTGGTTCAGCTTGACACCTCCCTCCCCTAAAAGTGAACTAACTGACTTGCTGATCTGGTTTGGCATGTTCCACCTCCTTCCCCCCCCCAGCCCCGATTCAGATAACTGCTTGTGCAATTAATCAGCAAAGCCCATAATCATTCCCACCCAACATGCGTTTCCTACCTCCTCTCTGAGGCTGCAGAGGTTAGGGAAAGTGCAACCCTACACCCTCCTCCCCTCTCCCACCCCCAGCTGCAGGTCCCTGCCTCCCTCTGTGTCAGACCTTGTAGTCATACAGCGATGGTTCAGGTGGCTGATCCATCAGAAAAACTGCCCTGAAAAACAGCTGATCCAATGGAGAATATTAACTCACTCTGTGGCCACAAAACCGCTACAAAGGATGAATCCGAAGCAGCAGGAACATGAAGGCAGGGACCAAAGGTGGGCCTGCCCCTTATAGCCATGGCTAGCTAGGTAGGTCAGCTGAACTCTTAATTTCAGACCAACAACTGCTTATCAGTAATTTCGTGTTTGGTTGAAATGAGCTGTGGATAGCTCCAGTGGGAGAAGAAAGGTAAGAAGAGGTAGGCACAAGCAGTCCTGAGGAGGAGTGAGCTTTTCTGCCAGCAGTAACAGATCTATTTCAGGGTGATCCCAAACCCCATCTCCCCTCTCTCACAGTTATCCCAAACACCAAAACTATTATTTAACTGACCACACTTCAAGTGAGGTGACGGAAATATCTACTGGGAAAAAACGGAGAGGATGGCAAAGAACAAAAATCTGAGGTCATAAACCTCTTTCAACGGTTCCCTTAAAGTATAATGGGACAAGGCAACTGTCGTCACAGAAAAGTAATTGTTTAACAGGTTACTATTTAACAGCTTTAGTGTAAGCAGGAAAAGATTTCATGCATCTTACCAAAAGGTTTCCGTGCTAAGTGGTCACACAAGGCTGCACATCTGTGCACCTGCTGCACAGATCGTACTCACACCACCTCCTAACAGCGTATCCTGGCCATAAACCCAGAGTCATGAGGCCCCAGCAAAGGCAACTGGACTATGAGCAGCATTAAGAGAACTGCACCCTAACTCTATTTGACAGGGGCTGATTTCATTTTATCTCCTGCAGGCAGAGAGACAGGAGTCCTCATTTACTCGTCAACAGCTTATCTCTGTCCCCATATACCCATGAAAATAAACTTATAAAACTTCCTCCACAAAAGCAAAGAAACTTCTGGCAATAAAACTTGTGGTACCAGGTTATAAAGACTACATCCTGCTGGAGATTAAACCACATTTTAAAACCAAGCTATTCTTCAGAAATGACATTAACAGGCTACAACACATAACTGGTAGTTTACCAACACATCCTCTATATTTCCATTTTGCTAATGAAGCCCAAGGACAAGCTCCAGTTCAATCACTTGAACTGGTTGTCTGTTCTTTCATTTTCAGCAACTATTTTACCTGAAAATGAAAACAAATACTTTTGCTTCCTCCTTGTACCGCAACGTATAAAGCAATATTCTGGTACTTACTTTGAATCCATATTTACCTTCCAAACTTTGTGTTGCTTCTTCAGGCTTCCTGCTGCACTGGCTGAAGCATAGCCCCCTCCCTGTTTCAGGAAAACATGGTCATTCGTGACTGGCCTTTACCACGGCACATACCTCAACCCTTGGCTCAGCTGTGCTGCGCGCTGCAGAGAGAGAGCAAAACTCCTGCCTGGCCCCTGCCCCGTGGTACACAGCTCCCCGGGAGGGCGGACATCAATTCTGTGCGTGCAGACAGTGGGTAATGCCAAGTCCTCATCAGGGTGTCCTCAAGGACTCCAAGGGCCTTTAGACACAAGCAGATCAAACGCATACTGTGCGCAATACCCAACAGCTCAGCACCTGGGCCATAAACTGCCAAATCCATCAGCTTTGGACCTTAAATGGCCGTATTCCTTCCACTGAATACAGAACGTGGAAAGCGGTTAATCCTTGGCTTAACGACAGGGGACAAGACCGCTTGTGAACGCACAGCGAATCCACCCCTGCGTCCCAGGACCCTGCATACAACCGCACCGCACCACACCGGGCGCGACCCCAACACCAGACGGCCCAGAGGGAGCTCGGGCGGCGGCCCGGCCTCCCTAAATGTCGAGCCAGGCCAAGGCCAGCGCTCCCGCACCCGCCGTCTGCGGGGACAGGCCAGGAGCCGGGCGAGGGGGGGGCGGCAGCAGCACCCGCCCGGGCGGGGCGCGGGGGGGGGGGGGGCGGCCACCCCCCCCCGCCTCTCCCCCGGCGGGGCTCCCCCGCGGTACGAGGCGCCGTGGCCTCCGGGAGTCCCCCCCGCACCCCACGGGGAGGCTTCGGGCAGGTCGGTGCCAGCCGGGGGCTGGTCTCTGCCTCTGGGTTACGATCGCTCAGCGGGCTCCGCCTGCAGCCGCGCAGCCGTAGGGGCACAGGCGCAGCATGGCCCCTCTGCGACCAACGGAGCCCACGGGAGCCCCGGGTGCGGGGCCTGACTCCGCCGGCTGGGGCGGAGGAGGGGGGTCTCGCAGCAAGCCCAGCCTCCAAGAAAGAAAAGTGGGAACGCAAGACAAAAGCTGACGGGAAGAAAACGGAGCGCCGGCGGCAGGGGAGGTGAGCGCCTGAGCTCCGGCAGCACCGCAGCCGCCTTCCCCACGCCTCCGGCGGAGAG